AGCTGTGATTTGACTAGTGCCTTGTATAGTTTTTAGCAAGACCTCCTTTTTTTAAAAAAATTATTATTATAGTCCATTCCCTTTGAAATAAAGGCTAACAATCCATTTTCCTTCCCCACTACCTGCTGAACTTGGTTGCTAGCTTTTGGCGATTATGCAAGTGCAATCCCCAAGTCCATCTCTCTGTAGCTTTCTGCAGTCTTTGCTCATTTATATAACATTCAGTTTTTCTATTCTTCCTGTCAAAGTACAGAACCTTACATTTTCCAATATTTAGCAGATGGGGAGTACAGAGTTTTCCCAATTTAACTTGTCTCTACCCCTAGAACAAAGAAAATTACAGCACAGGAACAGGCCCTTCGGCCCTCCAAGCCTGTGCCAATCCAGATCCTCTATCTAAACCTGTCGCCTACTTTCCAAGGATCTGTATCCCTCTGCTCCCTGCCCATTCATGTATCTGTCCAGATACATCTTAAATGACGCCATCGTGCCCGCCTCCACCACCTCCGCTGGCAACGCGTTCCAGGCACCCACCACCCTCTGTGTAAAGAACTTTCCACGCATATCTCCCTTAAACTTTTCCCCTCTCACCTTGAAATCGTGACCCCTAGTAATTGAGTCCCCCACTCTGGGAAAAAGCTTCTTGCTATTCACCATGTCTATACCTCTCATGATGTTGTGGACCTCAATCAGGTCCCCCCTCAACCCCCGTCTTTCTAATGTAAATAATCCTAATCGACTCAACCTCTCTTCATAGCTAGCGCCTTCCATATCAGGCAACATCCTGGTGAACCTCCTCTGCACCCTCTCCAAAGCATCCACATCCTTTTGGTAATGTGGTGACCAGAACTGTACGCAGTATTCCAAATGTGGTCAAACCAAAGTCCTATATAACTGTAACATGACCTGCCAACTCTTGTACTCAATACCCTGTCCAATGAATGAAAGCATGCCGTATGCTTTCTTGACCTGCGTTGCCACCTTCAGGGTACAATGGACCTGAACACCCAGATCTCTCTGTGCAACAATTTTCCCCAGGGCTTTTCCATTTACCGTATAGTTCGCTCTTGAATTGGATCTTCCAAAATGCATCACCTCGCATTTGCCTGGATTGAACTCCATCTGCCATTTCTCCGCCCATCTCTCCAATCTATCTATATTTCTGCTGCATTCGCTGACAGTCCCCTTCACTATCTGCTACTCCTCCAATCTTAGTGTCATCTGCAAACTTGCTAATCAGACCATCTATACCTTCCTCCAGATCCCTCTGGAGACTGTGTCTTCATCACCATGGCCTTCCCACTTATTTGTGTCGTCTGCAAACATGGTGATAATACATCCATTTTCATTATCCAAGTCATTAATATATGTTGTAAACAATTGTTTCCCCAACACTAATTCTTCTGGTACCCCACTGGGTCCTGGTTGCTATCCTGAAAATATCCCCTTTATCCCAATTCTGACCTGTTCATTAGCCAGGTCTCTATCCATGCTAATGTACTATCCCCAACTCCATGGCTTTTATTAAAAGTAGCCTAAATATGTGGTAGTTTATCAAATGTCTTTTGGAAATCCAAATAAATGATATCTACTTTAAGAATCCTGCTTGTTCCCTCTTCAAAAGAACTGTAATAAGTTTGTCAGGCATGACTTCGCCTTCATGAAGCCACATGGACTCCATTTGATTATATTATATATTTCTAAATGCTCTACCATTACATCCTTTATAACTGACTCTAACATTTTCCCAATGACAGACATTAAGCTAACTGGCTTATAGTTAGCCGTTTGTCTATTATTTTTGAATAAGGGTGTTACATTGGCAGATTTCCAACACTCGACGACTTGGCCAGAATTTAGGGATTCTTGGAAGATTTTTACCATTGCATCTGCTATCTCTGCATCCACTTCCTTTAAAATCTTAGGATGCAACCCATCAGGTCCAGGGAACTTAAACCTTTAGGCTCATTAGTTTCCCTAGTGCTTTTCCTCTAGTGATAGTTATTGTGTTCATTTCCAACCCCCACTTTAGATCAAGCAGTCATCCTCAAACATGCCCAGCCAAGTTGTAGGTTAGACTGTGTCTTGACAGCTGTCTGGAATCGGAGTACAGACTTGCACACTCACTGTGTTTTGGTCGCATACAAGATGAACTTTAATCAAGAGAAGTTACTTAAAAAGTTAACAAAATCTCCTGGCTAATCTGGAGATTAACAGATTAAACCATGAGTGTAGTCATAGAAACAGAGCAGAAGATGGGAGTAGGGGTAGGCCTTTGACACTGAGCCTGCTCCACCATTCAATATGATCATGGCTGATCGAACTCAATACCCTAATCCCACCCTCCCACAATATCCCTTTAGCCACAAAGGCTATATCTATGCCCTTCTTAAAAACACAATGTTCTGGCCTAAATCTCTTTCTGTGATAATGAATTCCATAGGGTCACCATTCTCTAGACAAAGAAATTTCTCCTCATCTCAGTCCTTACCCTTATCCTTAAAACTATAAACCTTAGTCTGGACTCCCCTACCATCAGGAACATCCTTCCAGCATCCAACCTGTCCAATTCTGTTAGAATTTTATAGGTTTCTACATCAATTTTCATAGTGGAAGATACCAGTAGCATAGCAGAACTTCAAGACAACCAGGGGGCAGAAGTGAGTGTAGTAGCCATCGTGAAGGAAAAACGTACTGGGGAAGTTGAAAGGTCTGAAAGTAGATAAATCACCCAGACCAGAAGAACTACACCCAAGAGTTCAAAAGGAGACAGCCGAGGAGATTGTCTAGACGTTGGTGGCTATCATTCAGGAACCATGGACGGTCCCAAAAGGACTAAAAACATAGGTCTTATAGTAGCCATTTTCAAGAAGGGAGCGAGGCAAAAGACGGGAAACTGTAGACCGTTAGCCTGACCTCAGTCATTGGCAAGATTTTAACAGTCCATTATTAGGGATGAAATTGCGGAATGTAGTTGAATCATAGACTCACTGCAGTGTGGAAAGAGGTTATTCAGCCCATCAGGTCCACACCAACCCTCCAAAGAACATCTCACCTAGCCCCACATACTATCCCTGTAACCCCACAAATTACCATCGCTAACCCACCCCCAGGACACTACAGACTACCAATCCACCTAACCTGCACATCCTGGGACTGTGGGAGGAAACCCATGCAGGCACAGGGAGAACACACAAACTCCACCTGGGAGTGGGAATCAAACCCAGATCCCTGGTGCTATGAGGCAGCAGTGCGAACCACTAAGCCACCGTGTCACCCAAGGTAGAAATGCGTGGTAAAAAGGGCTGAATCAGCACGGTTTCATCACCAGGGAAAAAGTCATGCCCAACAAATCTGTTAGAATTCTTTGAGGAGGCAATGAGCAAGTCAAACAAAAGGAGAGCCAGTGGACATGATCTATTTGGATTTTTAGAGGCCTTTGACAAGGTGCCACACAGGAGACTGCTATACAAGAGCCCATAGTGTCAGGAGCAAGGTACTGGCATGGATCAAGGATTGGCTGACTGGCAGAAGGCAGAGAGTGGGGATAAAGAGGTTTTTTTCAGGATGGCAGCTGGTGACTACTGGACTTCAGCAGGGGTTGGTGTTGGGATCACAGCTATTCACATTATACATTAATGATCTTGGTGAAGGAACCGAGGGCATTGTTGCTAAATTTGCAGAGGACATAAATACTTATTGTGACATGTTCAGCTGTGTTAACAAAACCGTGCCTTGTTACCATTCAAACATAACTCTGAATATTTCCAAAGTACAGTATATATCTTTTAAAATTCTGTAATAAAATGCTGCTTGATGTTCTATGTTCAGAGGCTGATTTGTAAATGAGTTTGAGAAAAAAAAAGTCAAGAAAAATCCCTGCGCAAAGCTAATGCAATTTTGGCTGCAATCTGCATCCAGATTACAACAGAGACACTACTTCCAACGTACTGTAACAGCTCTAAATCATCAGAAAATAACTGATGAAATAAAAAGAATTCAATAAATGTTAAAGCCTACCTCTCTTCCTTACATTCAGAATGATTATTGCACCCAAAGATGAAACTCAAAAACCCATTCTCAATCTTATTCGCTAAACAGATTACTGTACAGCAATTTTGGGTAGAACACACTAAAGTAAATCAGAATATTTTGGAAAGCACCCAAGGTGTACATAGTTAATACATTAGGCATCATAAAATTCAAAGTTTTATTTTAAAAGTTGAGCTTAAGAGTAAATAATTACAGATTACAAGAAGGTCCTTTAAAGAAAAAGCTGCTTAACAAGAAATATAACCACCACTGTGGAGGGAAAAGCTCATCCCCTTACAGGGATTGTCCCATCCTTCCTGTTTGGATTTCCTGATTATCAATTATAAAAACTTTCGCGTAGGATGAATAAAATCACTTTCCTTCCTTTCCCATTTCCCTTTTCCAAACAAAGTGGTCCTTGGCCAGATTAAACAACAAGTAAATTCTCTCGTCCCACTCCCAACAAATCCATTAATGTTCCAACACAAGTTTTTTTTAAAACATCACTTTTTTTCTGTTTAGGACAGATTTAAGTTATTACTGATAACAGGGGTCTGCTTAGAAATAGGAATGTGATCTTCCAGTAAACATTTACCTCATTGCATTGAAGGTCAGGTAAGACATACAATGAATTCTTCATGACGGCATCATGACCAAAAGATCAATGCTGGCACACATGTCAAAAAAAATTTACTTCCCAAACGCAAAGTCCTCATCTAACGAAAAAGCGTAACAAATCAACCTTTGTCCACAGCATCCTCTTAAATTAAATATTCAACAAAGTCAGCGAAGCCATTATTGTCCAATCCATTTACAATTAACATCATGAAAACAGTAGTTCAATTTAATAGTTTTCTATCTGTTACATAGTCGCCAGTCAAATAACCTATTCCAAATGTGAATATTTGCTGCTACATTTTAGTTATATCGTTGCATGGCCACATGTATGTTGTTGAAAAATGACTTACTTCTACATTTAGAACAACGGCTCCGATCATACTCTATCAGCTCAGCACGCTTGACATGATCTCTCGAAAATATTCTTGCATGGTCCTTTTCTTGGCGCAAACGAGCTGCTTCTTCTTTGGCAAATACACCCAAGTCTTGGGTATATCTACCATACATCTAACAAGAAAATGGAAAAACAGAATCAAGTAAAAACATAAACCTAAACGGCATTATTAACATGAAAATAAAGGGCCATGTTTCCATCCCAATTCAAGCTTCTGTTTATCTTCATCACCTCTGTTGATTTGGTAAGCATTCAACCAAGTCAACTCTCTTCTACAACGGAACCAACTACAGGCAGGTTTTCCAAAGAGGGATGTCTAGAATTATTGCATTTGCTGTTGACAGATGTTGCTGAGATGCATGATTATAGTTACTTTACCACTGCACTTTTGGCACATTTTATGGAGTGAAATTATCACTTTTTGTGACAAAACACCAGTTAGCTACAAGGTCAAACCCAGTTTTAATTCTCATTTACTCATAAAAATGCATACCCTAGCTGTTACGAATAAACAAGTTAATGGGTGGGAACTACAAGTAATAAAATGGTTTTATAGAGGCGGAGAGTGCTCAGCACACAAGAAAAGTATTATGTTGCAATCAATGCCAGACAATGTATGAGGAGGGGAAGCTGAGGGGAGTACTGGTGATACTCGCAGTGCTACACTGACTCAGTGGCAATAATTCTGACCTGGGTCACAAGGTCATGAATTCCCAATCCAGACCATGTGAAGATGCAATCCAGGCCATCACAGATAACCCGTCATTCACCACTGTGCAGTTTGTGGAATCTTGACACATGAAAATTGGCTATTGCAATGCCCTGCACTAAAACCATGACGACACTTCCGACAGCACTATTTCAAAGAAATACTTGATGCACCTTGTGAAGTCCCAAGCACCTAAAACACAGGATATAAATGCAAACTCTTTCTTTTAGTGAGATAAGTTACACAATAAAATCTTCTGATTTCTAGACTCAAGGTAGATTTTTTAAAAATAGGATTTTGTTTCTTTTAAAGATTACTGTCTTTGCTATGGGAAAGAGGGAAAATAGGAGAATGGAGCAGCAGATTATTTTCAATCCTATGATGTCACATGTAAGTGGTTGGATAACATTGAACCGTATTATTATACGGTGGAAATGTGATCTGCACCATCATGTTAGAGCATTAAGACAAGTTTAGCACAAGTAGAATAAAAGACTGTTTCTATTAGTTGGTTGCAAAAAGGTATGGTATACAAATTAAAGTCCATGGGATGTCAGGAAGAACATTTTTTTATTACCCTGCAAGTGGCAATGATCTGGAACTCTTTGCCTCCCAAAGTGGGGAATAATAAAAAAGAGACAACTATTAGAAGGGAAAATCTCATAGGGCTTTGGGGTTACAACTGGGCAATGGGACTGACTAGATTCCATGAGAGAGAGCCTGTAAGGGTTCGGTGCACTGATTGGCCTCATTCTATGCAGCAACAACTAATTGAACAAAGACTTACTGAAAATCGGAAAAATGTGTCAATTTTTCATTACCCATTTATATTCTAGTCAGACCATGGAATTGAATCCAAAAATATTACTTTTTCAAAACAAACTGTGTTATGTCTGGCAAAGTAAACTGTCACAGTTTATCTCTAGATCTCTTCCTGGAATAGGTATAATCAAAAACAAGATGTCTAGAGCAACTTTCTACATTTACTACCCATTCTTGCTGAACTGGAATGAGGACGAACAGAGGCCAATTGAATGTCCTATACCAAACTCCCCAATAACTTGCTTGTGACAAGAGGTACTCAGGATTGATTTGACTTCTTATATTGTGTGGTGGGTTTATTTTGAAGGTCTAAACAGACTGGACTGTCCAGACGATATCCAGACACATGGGAACTTATTACTCAATGTTCTCTTCAAGATTAGCTCATAATTTCCAGACATCAAATATAATTGAATTCTCAAATACAGCAGTATGAAGTAGAATTTCAAACATCTCTCCTGTAGGATGTTGCTGGCTGCTAGCCTAAGAACTGTAAGCAGAAGAGCCTTCCAATCCTCAGTAACAAAAAAAAAATCACACAATTAAGATTGACTGTCCAAATCTCTCTCAAGTTCAGGATACCTCCAGAAATCAATATACAATAAAATCGCGAAAAAAAAACCAACTGGTCCTCTCTAACCAAATCATTCATAAAGACTGCAAGTTAGAAACCCGGATGCCAAAGTGTGGCCTCTAAGGTGGAGATAGGTGGGGACAAAAATTCACAGATATAGATATAGCCATGAAGTTCCCTATTTAAGGCAGAATACTATCTGTAGGATAACTAATTATTGGATTTAACTATGTTCCATCAAATTAGATTGACCTTGTCTGGAGAAACAATTCCTTTTCCTGGCTAAACTAAAGGAATATTTGCAGTGGCACTTCTGACTTTGTCCAGCCCAGTCCAATACTGGCACCTCCACATCAGCGTCAACCATGGTTCAGTGGTAGGGGCTGTCACCTCAGCGTCAGCAGGCTGAGGTTTGAATTCTTGCTGCAGAGACCAGAGCTCTCAAAGCTTAGCTGACAAGCCCATGCAGTACTGAGACAGCAGTGTGCAAAACTGACTGCTGCTTTTCCTGTATGACAATAGTGGCAACATGTCAGAAGCTGCAAAGCACTTTGAGACTCCAGCAAGTGAAAGGCACTTTTCAAATGCAAGCCTTTATAGATTGTACTTGTGATTATTCCATTGAAGTAGGCAGTATATGTTTTACAAAATCCATGGTGACAAGCCATTCTACCAAATCACATGACTCTCAAAAACAAGTTAAAACCGAACCTCCATGAGAAACAAATGAAACAGCTTTAAAAAAGGACTAATTATGAAATACAGAAAGTGGTAGAAAATGCCCACTCATTCATAATTCAAAGATTTGCACATTAGAAAAGAGCCTTGAATGTGTTTAATTATACAAGCGAAAAATAATATTTTAAAAAACCAATTATAAAGCACTTTACACAGCCAAAGAGTTTACAGCCAATGAAGTGCTTTTGAAGTGTAGTCACCATTGTACTGTAGGTGACACAGCACTGCAAATTCCCACAAAGAGCGATGTGATAATGATCAGGTAATCTGTTTTTATGATATTGATAGATATCATCCAGGCACTAGGGATAACTCAGAGATAGCAAGAACTGCTGATGCTGGAGTCAGAGACAACAGTATGGAGCTGGAGGAACACAGCAGGCCAGGCAGCATCACAGGAGCAGGAGAGTTGACGTTTCGGGTCAGGACCCTTCAGAAGGGTCTTCACTGCCTTCATTAGTCTGGCCGTTGAGTATAGCAGTTGGGAGGTAATGTTGCAGTTGTGCAGGATGTTGGTGAGGGTGCACTTGGAATATTCTGTTCAATTTTGGTTACCTTGATATAGGAAGGATGTTGTTAAACTGGAAAGAGTGCAGAAGACATTTACAAGGATGTTTCCAGCACTCAAGTGACCGAGTTATAGGGAAAGGTTGGACAAGCTAGGACATTTTTCTTTACAGCGTAGGAGACTGAGGGGGGACCTTATAGAAGTATACAAGATCATGAGAGGCATGAAGATGGTTGAATGCACTCTGTCTTTTACCCAGGGTTGGGAAATCAAGGACTAGAGGGCATCAGTTTAAGGTAAAAGGGGAAAGAATAAATGGGATCCTGTGGAGCAACCTTTTTACACAGAGGGTGGTACGCATATGGAATGAACTGCTAGCAGAAGTGGTTGCGGTAGGTACATTAACAACATGTAAAAGGCATTTAGATAAATACATGGAAAGGCTAAGAAGGAGATGGGCCAAGTGCAGGGAAATGGGGTTAGCATGGATAGACATTTTGATTGGCACGGACCAGTTTGGGCCAAAGGACCTGTCTCTGTGCTGTAGGAGTCTCTATGACCTCTCTGAGCATTTCTAACTCATGTTTAGATTTTAGATTTTCAGCATCTGCAGTATTTTGCTTTGTGTCATTTGTAAGAGGAGTGAAAGTAATGACCCTTTTAGGCACAGCCCACAGACTGTAGTGCATTCACGTTTGACAGTGCACATTCTAATGACATAATTGAAGCTTATGGCACGTAGATGTTTAAAGTACAATCTCGCATATCAAACTACAGTTCAAGTGCATCTAAACATTTAACTGATGACCACTCTTCAGAGTGCTATTTTTAGCAAGACCACCTGGAATGTATTTATGCCACTAATGCTACAGTTTGGTTGTAATGCATCATTTTAATGTGCATGAATGTGTTGAAGTATGATATGTTGAGCTTGTGCAGTTATCCTGGATAAATTATCTTTTTCCCTCTCTCCTTAACAATAGTAAGTAAACACTTTAACGCCATGCTGTCCAAGCAAATATTTCAGAAATGGTATGGTATCATTCTGAGGTTAAGTGTAATACTGGATTACCAGACAACCCAAACAAGCTAGAAAAGTGATACACAGTAGTTTAAGATTTAATTAAACATCTGTCTATGTTTCTGGAACTTAAAATGTAGTGAAGTTTAATTTAATCTTATTAATTAAGTGTGTTACGAATGGTATCTGTGTACACAATTTGTGTGGAGTTGCTCATGTCTGCAGATCAGCAGTTGTGATGCCACACAGATACATTTTGTCTTACCTAATGGCCTATATTTTTTGGACAAGTGTTGTCTTGCCCAGAAACTGTAAATACTGTAAATGGATAATGGTCAGCCAGAGTGTAGTTGGTCTCACTCTTGACCTTAAGTCATTAGGTTGTGGGTCCAATTCCATCTTCTGAGATATATGACAAAATATCAAGGGTGACACTCCACTGTAGTACTGTTAAAGATGCCGTATTTTGGATGATGTTTTAAACCGTGACCACATCAGTTTGCTTGAGTGAATTGAAAAGATCCAGTGGCCCTATTTCAAAGAAACAGGGAGTTATCCCTGGTACAACACAGTGTGGAGCTGGAGGAACACAGCAGGACAGGCAGCATCAGAGGAGCAGGAAAGTTGACATTTCTTCACTGCCCAAAATGCAACACCTCACACTTATCTATATTAAAGTCCATTTGCTATTTCTTGGCCTACTTTCCCAGCTGCAATTTCTGTTAACCTTCCTCACTATCC